ATATATACATATATGAGCTTCCTGTGTGTGTGTGTTTGTGCGCGTGAGTCTGTGTGTAAACCTAACTGAGTAAAATTCCTGATTACTCACGAAAGTGTATATTGACGGTTTCTATAATTTCACTCATTTGTAATACTGTATAGTAATGGTAAAACATGCAGGCTCAAAGCAGAACACCGCGTTCCACAAACGTATCATCTTCTCTGACGTCATGTAAATGCGCCGAAAATACCACAGCGTTGAATAAGCTCGTTTCATCAGCATTTCTGTGCTCCCCAACCAACCTACTATCCGGAGGAGTCATCTACTTTACAACTGGCTATCCAAACGGAATCTTTTTTTCTAGATAAAATTGAGTTTTATATAATTATCCACAACAACAGCAGAAATTACAAGCAGAAGAAAGTCAGCTTGTCAGACCCTGTCGGCCTTTTTACTTTCGTCACTTCCTACTTTTGAAAATCGCGGCTGGAGAGATGGAGTTGCAAGGTAACCTAACTTAAAAAAAAGTTGGTGTTATTGTTATTTTTGTATTAAGTAATTATCTGTCTATTTAAACTTGGCTGCTGGCTTTATGTTTGCCATTTGCCTGCTTCCAAATTGAAACACACTTGACCATGATTAGAAATGTATTTGGTGAACAGCCACAGCTGTTTTGGCAGCTGTTTGTTAGTAGTTGCATAATGGTACATCTGTTGACCCCACTCCATCGCTGTAACTTCATTTACATGAAAGTTTGCTGTTGATCATGTTTTATTGATGACAACTCAAACACTGTCAGGATCATAAATTGTTTATGAAGAAAATGTTCAAGAAATGTTTAATTTCTGTTTTTCTTATTACACAGGGTTTGTTTGTTTGTTTTTTGGTCTAATTGATTATTCTGCCATATTTTGAAGGGTTCTTGCTAAAAAATAAAGCATGACTAGTGTGCAAACTTTTCAGCGGATATCAAGTGAAGTTTTTAATATTACATAAAAGGTTTGTGCTTGGATACGTCTGGATAAGTGTAGAATTGTTTGAACCTTGTTATTATGAGCATTTGACATCTTAAAATAATTGAAGACAATAAGAACCCATGGTACGGTCACATTTTGGTATTTTCGGATTTTAGTCCATTACATATATGAGTGTCATGAACATTCAGTATGTTCATGTTTGCTGAATGGGCTTTAAGATCAAACAAATGGATAACTTGTGGTCAAGACAGTTAATGTGTCTAAAATGTATTTTTCCCTATGGTTTAGGAGGTACTGAACCGATGACTTTAGGCTCTCCTACCTCTCCTAAGCCAACGTCTGGAGCTCAGTTTTTACCTGGTTTTCTCATGGGTGACCTGCCAGCTCCTGCCAGCCCGCAGCCCCGCCCCTTCAGCCTGACCACACCCATCACAGAGAACACAAGTGCAAGTCGAGGTCAGCAAGAAGAAAATGCTTCCTGCTCTTGTGATATTTTTATACAGCTGCTTTTGTTTATCAAAATGATCTATTACAGGTGGAGGGGGTTCGGCCCTGCAGCCCATTGTTCCCACTCCAAAAGACAAAAGTGGAGCTCCTCCTGTTCGCAGCATCTATGATGACCTGGTCACGGTGGGGACACCCCTCAGTGCTCACAGACAGGTTAGTCCTCAGGCAGGTGAAGATAAAACTGAGTAATTAAATGTAAAATGTGTCTATTTTTACAATGAGCTGCAACATCCAGTTAAAACATCAACATTGAGATCAGCTTAGAAGCAAGTACTGAGTGTAGGGTGATCGTGTACACGTGCTGGTCATAAAATTAGAATATCATGAAAAAGTTCATTTATTTCAGTAATTCCATTCAAAAAGTGAAACTTGTATATTATATTATATTAATTCATTACACAGACTGATATATTTCAAATGTTTATTTCTTTAAATGTTGATGATTATAAAACTGACAACTAATGAAAATCCCAAATTCAGTATCTCAGAAAATTACAATATTACTTAAGACCAATTAAAAAAATGATTTTTAGAAATGCTGGCCAGCTGAAAAGTATGAACATGAAAAGTATGCGCATGTCAGCACTCAGTACTTAGTTGGGGCTCCTTTTGCCTCGATTACTGGAGCAATGTGGCGTGTGTTAAACCTGTGTTAACCTTGCATATGACAAATAAACACAATTTGAACTTGGCATGGAGTGGATCAGTCTGTGGCACTGCTCAGGTGTTCTGAGAGCCCAGGTTGCTCTGATAGTGGCCTTCAGCTCTTCTGAATTGTTGGGTCTGGCGTATCACATCTTCCTCTTCACAATACCACATAGGTTTTCTATGGGGTTTAGGTCAGGAGAGTTTGCTGAATAAGAACAGGGACACTATGGTCCTTAAACCAGGTACCAGTAGCTTTGGAATGGTGTGCAGGCGCTAAGTCCTGTTAGAAAATTAAATCTGCATCTCCATAAAGTTGGTCAGCAGCAGGAAGCATGAAGTGCTCTAAAACTTCCTGGTAGACAGCTGCATTGACCTTCGACCTTAGAAAACACAGTGGATCAACACCAGCAGATGACATGGCACCCCAAACCATCACTGACTGCAGAAACTTGACACTGGACCTCAAGCAACGTGGATTCTGTGCCTCCTCTCTTCCTCCAGATTATGGGACCTTGATTTCCAAAGGAAATTCAAAATTTACTTTCGTCAGAGAACATAACTTTGGACCACTCAGCAGCAGTTCCACTTGAGATGCTTTTGACACTGTCTCTTGTTCAAGAGTGGCTTGACACAAGGAATGCGAGAGCTGAACCCCATGTCTTGCATACGTCTGAGCATGGTGGTTCTTGAAGCACTGACTCCAGCTGCAGTCCACTCTTTGTGAATCTCCCCCACATTTTGGAATGGGTTTTGTTTCACAGTCCTCCCCAGGGTGCAGTTATCCTTATCGTTTGTGCAATTTTTTTTCTACCACATTGTTTCCTTCCCTTCTCTCTATCAATGTGCTTGGACACAGAGCTCTGTGAACAGCCAGCCTCTTTAGCAATGACCTTTTGTGTCTTGCCCTCCTTGTGCAAGGTGTCAATGGTCGTCTTTTGACAACTGTCAAGTCAGCAGTCTTCCCCATGATTGTGTAACTTACAGAACTAGACTGAGACCATTTAAAGGCCTTTGCAGGTGTTTTGAGTTAATTATCTGATTAGAGTGTGGCACCAGGTCTCTTCAATATTGAACCTTTTCACAATATTCTAATTTTCTGAGATACTGAATTTGGGGTTTTCATTAGTTGACAGTTATAATTATTAACATTAAAAGAAATAAACATTTGAAATATATCAGTCTGTGTGTAATGAATTAATATTATATATACAAGTTTCACTTTTTGCATATAATTACTGAAATAAATCTACTTTTTAATGATGCGCTAATTTCATGACCAGCACCTGTATTTTACTAAATTATATTCGTTAGATTATGTGTTAATTGGGAATGGTGGCGCAGAGGTTAGAGAAGGTGGGCCTGTGATCGGAAGATCGCCGGTTCAAGCCCCGGTACCAACAACATCAAAAATGTGGGTGGGGTAGGTTAAGCACCCACACCTGTCCCCACCCTCATTCGCCCCACTCTGGGCCCTTGAGCAAGGCCCTTAACCCCCACCATCTGCTCCTCCGGGTGTCATAGATAGCAGCTCTCTGCTCCACACAGAGGGCTGTGGTAGCTCGGTGGTCTGTGGTTGTGTCATGAAGAGCATCCGGCGTAAAAATAACTGCCAAGTCTTTGTGCGACTTAGTTTGCTGTGGCGAACCCTAACATAGGGAGCAGCCGAAAGAAGAAGATTGTGTGTTAATTCTTTAAAGCTAAAGCCTCAAACTTTTGCCTGGACCTTTTTGCTTAATGCTCCCACAGACTTGGGCGGACCTCAGTCCGCGGGGGTCCGTGCGTACCAGATTAGACTTGAAGTGGACGCCCGCAGGGCATGTCTGTGCAAAGATCAATTTTTATGACCGCATACGCGTACTCGATGTCTCAAAATAAACTGCCCGGCGACGAACTGTTTTGTAATTGTATGTGACACCAAATGGTATATGGTAAATGGACTGTACTTCTACAGCACCTTTCTATCTTATCAAGACACTCAAAGCTCTTTACACAACAATCTGTGCCTCATTTACCCATTCATGCAGCTCTATACTAGATCTCTACAAAGATAATTGAATAAATCATTCTAAAGAGAATAATTAGTGCTTCATCACATTCATACACTGATGGGACACACATCGGAGGCCCAGGGACACTTTGGCATGTGACTTCTGGTGGATTCGAACCCCCAACTCTTGCATTGGAGGACGACTGCTCTAACCACTCAGCCACCGCCGCCCCGCACCAATGTATTAAATTCCCCTTCTTCATCCCTGATCTGGTTTAATGGCTTTTTCATTTGTTTGTTTGTTTTTTCCAAAAGGCAAGCGATCTCTTCCTCCGTTGACGCCATGATTGAAATTGTGAGAAATAAAGGACTTTGTCACAAGCAAATTAAAATCGGGTCCACTGTGGCTGCGGGAGGGTTTGGAGATTTCCTGGTGGGCGGGTCTGATGTGTGGGCTGAAGGGCCAGCACTACGTTTTTTTTAGTTTTTTTTTTAGAACTTTTTATTAACCACTTATAAACACAGAACACTGCCGTCACTTACTGCCAGCTCTCTTTTTTTTTGGAGGCGGGGGGGTGGGGGTGACCTGTCAATCAGTCCAGTAGGCGTGTCAACAAATGACCAATCGGTGAACTCAATTTGTCCCGAAGGTAAACGCCTCTTGCCTGCAGAGCTTGGCTGCAGCCTGTCAGGGTGTACGCTTGAGTATGAAGTCTCAACTGTCTGCGGACAGTGAGCGCAGTTTCCACACGGACTGATGTCCACACGAGTATGTGCGAGTCTTTATTTTACCTGTAGAGAAAGCCATAAAATGTCCCAAAGCAATTTTTACCCTCAAAATCAGAATGAAAACCGTCCAAGCTAACAACACTGGTGGCGCATACAAAGATATGTGGCCAAACAGCGAATGCAGGGATGAAGTGGAGACCCTGGTGGGAAGAAACCAGTGTGGTGACGTATACTGCAGTGGGAGGGGTTTCCCAGGAGCTCTGTGTCTCGTGCACTATGAAAGGTGTGTGCGATAAAGAACATCCCACAACCACATGACTGCAACTGCGAGTCTGTTTGACTTCGGATGTAGTTTGCCGGGCCCTGAAGGGTCAGATGATCTCTGTGTACTTACGAGTAATTTAATGAGTACTTTAGGGTCTGGACAGGATCAGATCATGATGTCATCATGTCGTGTTGACATCAGCTGTTGAAACATTCTGATGTGTTGCAGGAACAAATGTATAATAGAAGAAGTCTAAACATGAAATATGTTCATACTGTGTGCATCAAGAACAAAGAACATCGCTCCACTTCATTTGTACATCGTTTTTGTAGAAAATGTAAATCAGGCATTAACATGTAAGCAAGTTGAATGAGAACCAGGGGACAACATTTTACTTATTTAGGCAGAGGCATCAGAAGTGTTTCAAAATGAAGAATCTGTCGGGAGGAATCAGTTGACGACGAAACGTGATACAGACGGAACATGTCTGAACATTTTGTCTTTCTTTTTCAGTCCTTTCCAGTCATGCAGACTCCTCTTTCTGCACGTCAGGCTTCAACTCCAGGAACAGGTACACACACACACACACACACACACACACACACACAGCCGCTTTTGGCACTTACCATTTAGCATTTTTTTCAAAATGACTTGTTAAACTTTATTTATTAAACACTTCAAAAGCAGCAATCTGACCAAATAACATTATATTAAAAGCACAACATAAAAGACGAACACTGTCGGAAGATAAAATGTATAAGTTCATACTGTGTGCTGTAGTCCAGCTCGTCCAAAATGCTGCAGCTCGGCTCTTAGCAGGAACTCAGGTATATTTCACCAGTTTTGTCCTCCTTCACTGGCTCCCTGTACATGTCAGAATAGATTTTAAAATGATCCTGTTGACCTTTAAGTGCATCAACGACCTTGCACCTTCATATCTGTCTGACCTACTTCAACCAAGTGTTCTGTCCCGAGTGCTGAGATCATCTGACCAGCTGCTTTTGGTTGTACCAAAAACCAGGTTGAAGTTCAGGAGATCAGGATTTTTCAGTTGCAGGCCCTAAACTGTGGAACAATCCGCCCCCCAACATTAGACACACCACTCCCTGCCTGTATTCACTGACGTTTAACAGCGATATGATTTAGTATTTTATTGTTTCTCATTGTTGTTTGTGTTTTTATTTTTGATGCTTTTATCTCATTATTTTTTTACTGCCTTGCTCTTATTGTTAAGCACTTTGGTAACAGCTGCTGCTTTAAATGTGCTTTATAAATAAATTTGGCTTTGACTTTAGTTTTTCACACAGAAACTGTTGCTTTGAGAATTACTTTCTACTCTGCTTTTCTGTCTGTCTGTCATGTTAGGAGTCCTGTCAGGAAGTGGCAGGCACAGGTGTGTGGTTAGGGTTCATTTATGCTCAACAGTGATTTCTGTTTCATGCAGCAGCTGCATCGTTCAGAATGTTTAGCTTATTATTGATTATAAATCAAAGTGCTCCCACTCTTCAGGCAGTAATAATGGGGTTGTGTGTGTGTGTGTGTGTGTGTGTCCAGGTGTACAGCAGGTGTGTCTATCTCCAGCTCAGATGGATCCTTTCTACAGTCAGGGAGAGGCCCTGTCATCTGACGACCAACTGGATCAGACCTGGGTCACTGTGTTTGGGTATTTCTGCTCCACCTCTGTGCTGACACCAACTATTTAACAATCCTTTAAATATGTTGCGTCTTCATTACGTGTGTGTTGGTGTGTTTTAGTTTTCCTCCAGCCTCGGCTTCCTACATACTGCTACAGTTTGCTCAGTATGGAAACATCCTTAAACACACGGTGAGACACACACACACACACACACACACACACACACACACACACACACACAATGCTATGGCAGAATGGAAATGCTCCTCATTGGATTTCTTGTTCCTTACTTTAAAAACATGTTTAAAACCCCTGAAACGTTTATTAAAATCACTCAGAAGTTTGAAAAACCAGAAACTATTTTACTTTGACAAAATCCTGAGAGCCAGCATTAAAGAGGGTGAATGTGAGAATTGTCAGATTTGCTGTCTGAGGATGGTTCTTTGATGTTCTAGTCTGTGAACATGGAGGATCTGCAGGAACCCGTCAGCTGCACCAGCGTGAACTGATGACTCGATTATGTTTTGACAGATGGCGTCTCCTGGTAACTGGATGCACCTTCAGTACCAGTCCAAACTGCAGGCCAGGAAAGCCCTGTCCAAAGATGGCAAAGTGTTTGGTGACTCCATTATGGTGGGGGTCAAACCCTGCATAGACAAGGTCAGCAGCTGCTGCTTCCTGCCTGCCACCATGTAAACTGACGCAATGTTTGCTGAGCTGAAGGTTGAACCGAGCAAAACGTTTCTTTCTCTTAGAGCGTGATGGGCAGTTGTGAGGCCATGTCTCCTCCTCCTCTGTCCTCCTCCTCTGTCCTCCCCTCCACCCCTCGCTCTGCCATCAGGCCGCTCAGCGCCTCCACCTACAAGAGTTCCGGTAGTGAATACGAGGTGACTTCAGAGCTCTCCTTATCCAGCTGTTGCCTCATGCTTCAGATGATAACAGCTGAAAACGAGTCGGTAAATGTGCGTTCATCCTCAGGTGGTGGCCGACAGACAGACGCCCAGAAAGGACGACAGTTTTGTTTCCAAGGCCATGGAGTACATGTTTGGTTGGTGAACCAGATGATCTGCAGCAACATGAAAGGATTCACTACAAAGTGTGAGCGTGAGTGTGAGCGTGAGTGTGAGCGTGAGCGTGAGTGTGAGTGTGAAGGATCTTGCTGTCTGCTTTTTTAACCATCATTTTTAATGTTTGTGTCTAAATAAAGTTTGTCTTTTTCTATAATTCAGTTGTGCTTCATTCAGAGTTGATGTTTTCTCAGCAGCCACAGTGACTCTGTGTTTATTTTCTCTAATGTAAATGTATATTTAATACCAGTATACCAGGGCTGTTCAGCTGCTGGCTGCGGGTGACTTCAGTCCAGCCCACCTATAAGTTCTTAATTATTATTATTTTTATTTTGGGGGGGGGGTTTCTGGGTTTGGGTTCTGTTTATTGCATTTATGATTCAATGCAACAAAACAAATTTAAAAGATCATTGATTATTTACATAATGATTTTATTGTTGGATGTCCGGCCCCCGACCTGCTGGCTTTCAGTAACTGCGGCCCCCTGGGCGGTTTAGATGGACCCTACATACGCTGCATTTGGAAGCCTTTTCTTTTCCTCTCGTTTGACTTTCTACAAACACCAGAACACAAACATTTTAAGCTGAAACAAATGTATAATCTGGAAATGTCACCGTTTTATTTCACATTTTAATAATAAATTACCTCCTCATATGAAATGTTTTTTATTGGTTTATTTCATCCATAAGTTCCACAAAATTAACATTTTCTTTTAGTGGAAAAACTACTTTTTTTTTTTCTTCCCCCTGGTA